TAGATGCTAAGCGAGAAAGCTTTGAATTTTGAGAAAGGTTTCTGTTCTTTGAAAGAATTCTGGTAGCTTGTAAATGAGTGTTCATAAGAGTATTATCTAGTTCAGCGACAAAGAAAGCGCATATCGGGGTATATTGCAAATACATGTGGGAAAAACAGAAAAGAAGGAAATACGTTATAGAATATTAGATCCAAACGGAAGAAATATTTAAAATGTTGAAATACAAGCCCACAAAATGCACAGAAACCACTTTTTAGACCTTTATCCATTAAAAGGTCTCAGTTTTAAGCCGGTACTGCCCAGTAACACAGCTTTGTTTATGACGTCCCATCTGAAATCAAATCGTATAAGTGCTTTAGTTAATATGCAAACAAATATTTAATTAATTTCAGTGTACTTAAAATTACAGCTTTCTACATTAGTAGAACATTTCTATTATTCTAATAACTTTCTGACATATATCTTCGGTTTTTGTTTCACAACAGTCTAGACGCAAAGAATAGGTATTAAGATATTTTATCTGTCAGTTAATTTTTCCGCTGATGGAAGTAAGCTGAGTCACATGGATGTAAATCCGGAGAATAAAGTAAATGTATAAAAACCTCTGTATTTTCTTTTCCGTAGCTGACTCAACAGCTAAACTGCTTGTGAGCTTAAAACCTTGCACATTCAACCAGTCAAGCAGTTCTATGGAAAGGATTCATCTTTACTGATTACTACCTGCATTATTATGAATCAAAATTGTCAGAAACTTTAAACTTCCCAGTATGGTTCCGCTACGTAGACGATACTTTTACCCTGTTAAGCCGGTAATAAAGATGACTTAGAAAAATTCTTTCAAAAATAAATTCCATTGATCTTGCTATTCAGTTCACTTTTGAATTTGAGATATGCAATTCTCTTCCGTTCCTCGATATTTTGGTCACACGTAACACATCCAACTTCAGTATTACCGTTTACTTTAAAACTTCATTCGTATGCCTTCTACCATACTTAAAATCATGTCATCCAACTAAACAGAAGTTACCTAGATTCATTTTATTCCTTTGTTTTCCGTGCATTTAAGGTTTGCTCCTCCAAATAACTCTTGATCAAGAACTCAATTACTTAAAAGCAGTTGCTATTGACAGGGGCTTTTCAGTAAGCAATATAAACCTTAGCGGTTAAAAAATTCTCATCTCAACACATCAAAAGGCACCCGCTGGTTTTAGGAGATTATAAGCATTATGTTTTTATTCTTTTCTTTTCATCAATTAGCTATAAAACTGCACCTATTTTACAGAAATTTAATTTTCAGGTCGAATAATCTTACCGGTTCCATATTTAAGGACCCCATTCATTGCCCCCTATCTAGGAGGCAATGCCCCATTCTGGATATGAATTTCTGGGGTATTTACAGGATTCCTTGCCAATGCGGTTTAATTTACATTGATCAAACCTCGAGAGCCTGAAAATTTAGCGTTTGAAAAGACATGAGGTATATGTTAGGAAAAGGGAAACACAGAAGTCCCATGTTGCCCAGCAGTAGTGGCCAGAAATCACGCTTTCCATTTTTCTGCAGCCAAAATTATTCAAACAACATGATCCACTGTTGAATTAGGTTTCTTACAGGTATTTCTCATGAAAAAATACCTTCTGTGCTAGTTAATAACCCTTATTCTAATCCATCGTTACCTTCAGCCTTTAAATTGGCATCTTTGCTCGAAAGAACACAAGGAATAGATATTTACAATGCTGTAATGGAAGCTTTTTTGCAACAACACATAAGACCAGAAAAAGTAGTTTCAATTACTAGTAATGGTGAGCCTTGCATGTTGGGAACAACATCTGGTTTCATACAGTTCTTTATTAACCCGGCGGAAGACGCACCAAGAAAAGTTACTAGAGTGAGCGCGTGGGGTATCACATACCCCAAAATTTAAAATATGATAAAAATAGTTTTAAAGCTGTTTTACTTGTTCTCGTGTATTATAAATGCGTGAATAATAATTGGGTTTCAAAAAATTAATTTCCAAAATAATCTTAGAGTTAAAATTAAGATAAATGAAAATAATAAAAAAATAAACATCATGTCTCTAAGTTTCATTGCATCTTTAATACACAATGCTTATTTTATTTCTTTACACTTTGTACAAAATACATTCATGTGTTCTTGGCACAGAATGTTTTCACATTTTAAACATTGCATTTACGTTCTTCTGTCCTTGGCACGATTACAATGAAAGTGAATGCCTTGCAAATTTATCACATCTTTCATACTTAGTTGTTTCGAATTTCATGTATTCGTTTTGCTTCTTCGTCGAAACTTCTGCTTTTGTTTTGCATGTAGTACGTCAGTTTCTTGGTAAAGTATTAATTTCTGATCTTTGTTCAATACTTTTTTTCATTAATTGTAATGCTAAGTCCTTCAAAAACAGACTTCTGTTTCCGTTTGGCGGATTAGCAGTTGAATGTAATATAATTCAAGCATTCATTACAGCAACATTCAGTGTGGGAAAGAAAATTACCATTGGCAACCTCCTTGTTATTCTGGAAATTGAATAATTGGCTGACATTTCATCCCCCATATTCACTGCTCCTTTAGTCATATTATAAAAACATATAATACCTGACGTTGTATTTTCTCTAGTATCATCTATAGTATGATCGTTATATAATGTTGAAAGCATAAGAACAGTTTTTCCTTTTTTGGAACATCAGGAATTAATGTTTTATCTTTTTCGAAATCAAAACAGTGTAGAAAACATTCCTAGTTTCATCATCAGTTTTCGAAATCCAATATTCATCGCTTTCAAATATTTCTAATAAATCTCACAGGCGTTGCATCTTCAATTCATAGGGAGTCATTCTTTTTACCATAATGCGGTTAGAAATTTTTAAGAATTTAGTGGCAAGTACTTTAAAACCACTTGCGAGTAGACATATTTACTGTTACATTCTAGAAATAAATTTCTGAACTAAATATTCAGTCAGAAAAACACTTACGCGGACAGGCGCGTGGGGTGTGTCATACCCCAGTTCCAACAAAATACCGATAAATCTTTTTCTGAAACACACAGGCAAAGAAAAAACGGTTCTGAAAGTCAACGAGAACTAGAAACTCAGCTACTGAATGCGCACAGAATTTCAGTTTCACAAGTTAGGAATATTCCACTTTTATGTAGGGGTGGGGTATGATACACCCCACGCACTTTCCCGCGGGTTAAACAAGAAACATCCAATTATTCAGTTTCATTATCTTCTTCACCAAGAAACTCTTTGTGGCAGTAGCCAGGAAAATATTAGACGATGTTCTCAAAGATGGCAAAAATGGTGAATTACATCATGGCTCGAGCTCTTAATTGTCGACAGTTTCAAGCACATCTTGATGAGATTCATGCACAGTATAACATTTTGCTTATGTAGATTAATATCCGATGATTGAGCAGAGGACGGTTTTAGAGAGATTTTGTAAGCTGCTTGGATAAAATTAGGCTATTTTTGAATGAAAAAGAGTAGGATTACCCATAGCTACTGATATGGTCTGGCTTAATAACGTTATGTTTTTTTAGCATGTAAATGCTATCAACCTAAGACGATGAATGTCTTTGTGAAGGACCTTTCTGGACTAAACTGGCTCGTATCTACACTAGAAAAGCCTGGAATCCATTTTGAAGAGCTTTCTATGAAAATACCTTGGCAGCTTCACTCTCAATCATATTAAAATTTGAGTGTATTTCACAGGATAAAAATTTGTTATTTAAATTTAGTGTGGGTGCAATATATTTTTCAAAACTATTAAGTACAAACTTATAGACACATTAAAAATTCTGAACATGCAAAACTATAAAAAAAAAATCTTCCAGGAGATCTTTTGTTTAAATATACTACATGATAGTTTTCCATTCAAAGATTATGTAAATAATTTATATTTAAACCAGATTCCTTTCAGATATACAATAAAATAATACAAACTGTCACACTTATTACAAAATGTTCCTAATTTTAAATTCATTAATTATTCATTTGAATAATATATATAGAAAAAATATATTAAATTTTTCTAATACAGTGATGAAATTAAAGCACAAAACATTAATTATTAGATGAAATGTATTGCAAATATTAACAGAATTAATTTAAAACTGAAATCTCATATGATCTCAGTGATTTAAAAAAAAAAACTCAAGAGTATATTGAAAAGTTATATATGCTAAAGAGTATATTGGAAAGCTATATATGCTAAAATTTAATATTTGGTATGTATTTAAGTTAGCATCTGTAGTATTTTCAGAAAAATTTTCTCTACTTCTGAAACTCATATTGCACAAGCATGTTTCAATTTATGCGCAGAAATTTACTAAGAGTAAATGTGACATCATCTTACACATAGTTGGATGTCACGTGACCTCCCTGCGCGTTTGGGGATTTAGCGCTCACCGTGATTTACTTGATGGGAAGAAAGTAAATGAAGGAAGAATCCTCAGCTAGCATTTATTACAGCAACTTGGCGATGAAAATCGTTTACTACTTTAGTCGCCAACACATTCCACGTGCTACATTTGCCATGAGTTTGGCAGAGGTATATGGTGTTTTTCTGTATGTTTCTTAGTTTCTTATCAGGCTCTGATTACTTCCAAGATATTTAAATTTCCCCAAATCATCCTTTAAATATGCCAAAGATGGAATATTTTTGCTTTACTCATGTAAAAATTAAGAAACAGGGAATCAGAAGGAAAAAAAAAAAAAAAAAAAAAAGAGCTGCATCTTAGATCCCAATTTTGATTAAAAAACTTGGCCACTTTGTGCATCCCTTAATATGTATGCAAAATCTTAAGGTTAAATTTAACGAACCATGTAATTTCATTATGTTTATATTAGTAAACCGTATTGCATTATTTTCAAATATATCTAATTGTAAAAGCATCGTTTACTTTATTTTATATAAATTTTTCCGTGTATCAGCTATTCCTTCGACTGCAAGAAAACAATACTGGGGTGGAGAATAAGAAAAAACAAAAATTTAGTTTTGATCATGTTATGAGTCATTTTTCTAGATCAAGTCCATTAGTTAGTTTGCATTTAATTAAGTGCTTCAAACTAAAGTTTTTCTTGAGAAGAAATTAGCTTGTGAAGAAAAACATTAAAACTTTAACTATAACAAATTTATCGCAGAAATTACGAAGCGATAAACATGCCAAACTAGTGACTATACATAATCCTGCGGACCAATCAAAGTAAGCAGTCATTCTAATCGACTTAGAATTCGTCCTGCACTTTCCGTGATATGGTCGATATAGGCGAGTACCCTGTTGTTTCCAAGATTTTGTGACTTTGTGTAATTATTTTAAAAAATGGGGTTGACAGGAATGCTTCGTGTTTTTAATAAAATGAAGTTGAACTTCAGCATGTACTCTAGAGGTAAGTATATGCTAATTTTTAATAATAATGTATTGATCATTAAATATTAAAAATGCCGATACCTTTTTATTTTTATTAATGAATTAAGTAATAAACGAGAAATCGTGTTATAGTTAAAAAGTTTGCCAGTGACGCCAAAAAAAGGATGTCTCTTGCAGTAGCATATGAAGAACATTTAAAAGACGGAATTTTTTTTCCTTATCAGACTGATAAAAGTGCATAGTCACTTCATCCGATATCTTAACTTCAGAGAATTTATTAAAAATGATTTACAGAATTTGACTTTAAGTATCCTGAAATGTAGTAACTGTAGTAGGATATGATCCTGGGCTTTATTATGCTTTTCTGCTTGTACATAGTATCATTATCATCTCTGTCCATTTCCTTCAAGTACATCAATACTAATTATGTGTTAACTGCAAGTTGTAGATTTTGTATGATTAAGATTTACGAATGATTACTCAGCACCAGTGTGTACCATTATCACAAGATGTGTGAAATCAGTGATGCATTATGATTCTTAAATTTGTTTTGTATGTTTCTTAAAAAAAATTTTTATTTAGTCACATTGTGCATTTCTGAAATGGCTGGTATCTTATGCTTTTGCTCCATAAGATTTTTAAAGATTTGATATTATAAAACTAGAATGTTTATAAACATTCTTTATAAACCAAATTGTTATTTTATTATGAAGCTAATAATAAAAGTAAAAATGCAAGTATGAAAATTCATCTGTGTAATATCAGGTGCTAAATATTTTCCATCATATATCAGGTGCTAAATATGTCTGTAATTATATTTTAAATTGTAATATATTATGCTTTTTTTTATTTATTTCAGCCTATTTACATGTGAAACATGAAGTGAAAAATGGTGTTGCTGTTGTTAAGTTTGATTCTCCAAATTCTAAGGTATTTTTTAAAATTCAATTTTAATTAACTTTACAATAATTACTTTATGGTTGTAGGCCACTTTTTATTCATAGGTTTTTAGAAATTTAGCAGATTTCATCATTCAGAATTGAATATTTTAAAATTTCAGTTAATTTTAATAAAGTCATGAAATAAGCTGTTAAAGAAGAAATAATTTGGCTCATTCAAACTGTTTTGCTAGTCTCTATGACATTGGTTCCTAATCTTTTTGTCCCTAACAGCATATTCTAGAAGATATGTTGGATGGCAGGCAGCATTTACTTTTTCAAGGTGAATTTATAATTGGATAGAGTTATTATAGTTAGAGAATTTCAAGTTATATACATGCACATTAAAAAAAAAGATCACATTTTGTTATGTGCTGGTATCTGTGTTGGGCACAATTTCTATTTCATTAAAAATGCAAAAACTTTTGCATAGAATTTTATTGAAAACTAAAACATTTTTATTCTGATCGCTCAGCGACGGGCATACGTTAAATGATTGGCGGGTGAGATGGGGCCTGTGTGCATTGGTTTGGGAACCCCTGCTCTGTGCTTTTAAATTAGTGAGTGTCCTCTATGTTTTAATTCCTTTTCTAATGTGGCACTGTAATACCTATCCCTGAACTTCATTAACCCATTTATGCTGGAGGTTTAAATTTTTGGGTAAAAGTATAGGACCCTTGGCGATTTTTGGTGATACATGGATACCGATTTTGTGCAATTCTTTGACTCGTTATTTTAGCTTGTGAAGCGGCGATTTTTGTGCCAAACATCGCCACTACACAAAGCCAAAACAACAAGACAAGCAATTGCACAAACTCGGTATCCATGTACACATCGACTTATTTTCACTTAAAAAAAAAAATCTCCGAATTGCACAAAAATGGAATTGCGCACTCCTTTGACTTTATCCATGTACACGTCGACCTAGTTTCACTTAAAAAAAAAATCCCCGAATTGCACAAAAATGGCTTTGCGCACTATTTTAACTTTATACATGAACACGTCGACCTATTTTTACTTAAAAAAAAAATTACAGAATTGCACAAACTTTCATTGCGCACTCCCTTTACTTTGTCCATGTACACATCGATATATTTTCACTTAAAAAGTCAAAGGAGCACCAAATTCTACAATACAGGCAAATAAAAAATACATAATCTCAATAAAATACATTTTAAACCAAACAATAAAATAACATAAAAAAGGAAAAACGTGTTTTACATTTAAGCACTACCGAAAGCGAATATTCACTTACCATGATTTTCGAGTTCGCTTCGTACACCCAGAGCCACGTAAAAATCAAAATATCAATCATACTCAAATGACTTTTTTCAAAACCAGGTACTCTTTCTGATCGAACGCTTCACATAGTGACCATCTGAACCTTTCTTCCTACAAACCCATCTAAACGGTTTTTACGTTCGATTAGACGCATATCCTTCCTACATACAGGACACTTATAACGGCTACTTAGTAAACTTTTATTTACACACCAGTCAATTAAAGCTCTTTTTTCCTTTCATTCCAAATTGTACAGAAAATTCAAATTAATCTTACTACATTCGGCCATTCTACAGTCTAAAGAATCAAACCAACACACACCAAAAAAAAAAAAAAAAAAAAAAAAAAAAACGCTTACGAAACATCCCATGATTCAGAATTTCCCAGAATTGTGCACCCGATTACGTCACAATAGGTTTTCCATAACATTCAACTACTCAGGCTACCATAAATGAAACAACAACTTGGCGATAAATCAAAGAACAACTTCGCCATAATACAAGGGGTACCTTAAAGTCTACTCTACCCAATTTTTGGAAAATAGGCATGAAATTAATGTGTGCTAGCTAAAAAATGTAAGAAACAAGAATTTAAAGACCAAAAATTAATTTCGCAACCCATTTTATAGTTGTGGTGTTCTAAAAATGGAACGCTTGGAAAATCCGTTGCTATATTATACATATTATATAAGAGATTCTTGAACTTATCTTTTTAATGACTAAACATTTCACAGATTTAAACTTCATACATAAGCACACACAATATCATACCCTGAGTCGTAGCTAGGGTTTTCAGCGCCCGGGGACAACTGAAGATTTCGCACCCCCTACTGCTTGCCAAGGATGGAAAACATTTAATTCTAAAATGTCGTAACATCAGTTTGGCGCCCCTTGGATTCTGCGCCTGGGGACAGATGCCCCCCTTGTCCCCCTTTTAGCTATGCCCCTGATCACACCATTCAGTGTGATATTAACTGAACACTTCACATGTTTTCACACTGAAAAGTTGTGTTCTTGTGACATTGGGCACAGTGTGTTTGGTTTTACTATAAAATGATTCATTCCATCATAGCGTGAATCAATATTGCATTTTGCAGGTCTTCCTTTTTGTCCTGCAGGATGGCCATGGGTCTCCAGATAATGACGTGCCACTCGTCGACGGAATTTCAAAAACTTTTCTTCATATATTTTATGCAGTTGCCAAGCAGTTTGTAAGACTCGTTCAAAACAGAACAAAAGCAGGCTTGAGTGCCACTTCTTGCCACAATTGATGCTCGGTAGTTATCAATGTTTTCATCAGCTTTGTCCACATCTCCCATAAATTGATTATAAACTTCGGTCAGGTTTGGCTGCTGGACTTGGATCTTCTTTTTCTGTTTCTGAGAATAATGACCTACAAGGCACACAGGATTGACCTCGGTCCCAGATGATGCAACTGTCACAATACTGTTGTCATTCCATCTGCAAATAATATTGCCATCAGTTAGATAATCAAATCTGCCTCTTTCTTTTTGATAGCACCATCTGATTACATTGGACATTTGTCAATATGATCTTTTCGCACTGTACCTGCTGCCTGATGACCCATTGAAATGAGCTTGTCGAGCAGTGAAATACTGGTGAAAAAGTTATCAAATACAAAATGATATTGTCCAGGGTGTGCTTCTGTAAGTGCCTCACTAAACTGAAGAACAACTGAAGCACCGAGACTGTATTCATCAAATCTTGTGTTCAGGATCTTACTCTGGTAAGTCTCAAAGCAAAAATGAAGTCTAAACGTGTTGCACCACACCAAAATTTGTATCTGAACCGAATAGGTTTGCCACAAATAAATTGTTTACACCCATGGTGACCAAAGTAGGGAACCATAGACTCGTCAATACTGAAATATGTTTCATTTGGAACAAAATTTCATACATTTCTCATTCAGTTTGCTTTTGAGAGGTCACAACTTTGCAAACTTATCTGTTGGATCTGAATTTGTGTTGTCAGCAACATGTAGATGAGAAAATATAGTTTCAAATTGGTTACATCTCATGGCACTTCTAACAAGTATATTATGTGCATCTGTTCTTTGCTCCCAGAACATGCATCGTCTGGGAACCGAGACATAGCCACTAAAAAATATAAGAAGAAATCATTTGTTACTTGTGTAACGCTTCCCTTTTTGGGCTGTGTATTTAGATCAGCTTTTTTTCTATTTGTGAATCTTTTAGATTTTTTTCCTCTTTGATGGTTGCTGCACAGTAGATGTGGATGCAATTTCATCCTCAGGAGAATCATCTTCAGATATAAAGGATCATCTGGTTCCGAATCAGCATTACAACCCTCTTGAATAAGATAAGCAGGTGCATGCAGCAAGGAACCTGGCAGATTATTTATTATTACCCCTTCTTCTTCGGAGTCCTCATCAGAAATGGGTGATGTAGCATTTTCAGCTGGTTGTATGATTATGACATTTGCCTCAATATCATCATCTGTCTCTAACAGGTTGGTTATTTCATGTAAACTTAGATTTTTAGGCATTTTGAAGTTTGTGAAATGCTTTCAACTAAAAAAAGAGAACAGAAAAATATTAATCCTGATGGTAATGGTTTTGCCTGGTGTTCCAAAAATGGAGCACAAAGAATTTCAACTCTATAACTAACATAGAAGTAAGGGCATCTGAATTTTTCTTGTTACAGCATGATAATATAACATCTTCAGAATTAGCAGAAAAAAAAGTTAGATGCATAGGATGTAATTTACTAAAGCTATGTATACCTGTCTTCAGATGGTACTTCAAAAACTTGCTAAAAAACTCTGAGGACTGTTTCAGAACTACTCTGAGCTTGGCATATCACCAGGAATGACTAATTCTGTTTACTGCGTGATAATAGAAATACAAGGCAGAATAGAAGGGAGATATCAAAGTATATTGCCAACCTTAAGGAGTAGCATATAAATAATTCAACACAACTACCTGTCCATTAATAAAGTGCTAGGCATAAATGGGTTAAAAAACTAGTCTTTAGTTGATAATCTCGCATATTTAGTTAAAAACTGCCTATTTACAGCTGATAATGCTGTTAGTACTAAATTTAATAAGCTGTATAAAAATATTTTTGTTGTTGATAAGTAATATAATGAATTTCAATTATTGTAGGTAATGGAACTTCACTGAAAAAATAGGGTAGAGTAGACTTTAAGGTACCCCTTGTATTATGGCGAAGTTGTTGTTTGATTTATCGGCAAGTTGTTTCATTTATGGTAGCCTGAGTAGATGAATGTTATGGAAACCGTATTGTTACGTAATCGGGTGTATGATTCTGGGAAATTTTGAATCATGGGATGTTTTGTAAGCGTTTTTGTGGTGTGTGTTGGTTCAATTCTTTAGACAATAGACTGGCCGAATGTAGTAAGATTAATTTGAAGTTTCTGTACGATTTGGAGCGAAAGGGAAAAAGAGCTTTAATTGACTGGTGTGCAAATGAAGGTTTACTTAAGCCATTATAAGTGTCCTGTATGAAGGAAGGATATGTCTAGCGACGTAAAAACGTTTTAGATGGATTTGAATGGGTTTGTAGGAAGAAAGGTTCAGATGATCACTATGTAGCGTTTGATCAAAAGTACCTGGTTTGAAAAAGTCATTTGAATATGATTGATATTTTGATTTTTACGGTTATGGGTGTACGAACTCAAATACACGGTAGTTGAATATTTGCTTTTGGTA